CCAGTACTACCTGTGGCTGCCTCGCCCACGCTATCCTTGGTGTCCAGAATAGCACTACCATCACCAGTGAGTTGTTGTTCCATACTCACTTTGCTCTCAGTTGTTTCCAGAGTTGGCTGCTGAAGAGCATCAGTACTACCAGTGACTGCCTCGCCTACGCTATCCTTGGTGTCCAGAATAGCACTACTATCACCAGTGAGTTGTTGTTCCATACTCACTTTGCTCTCAGGTGTTTCCAAAGTTGGCTGCTGAAGAGTATCAGTACTACCAGTGGCTGCCTCGCCCATGCTATCCTTGGTGTCCAGAATAGCACCACCACCATCACCAGCGAGTTGTTCCATACTCACTTTACTCTCAGGTGTTTCCAAAGTTGGCTGCTGAAGAGCATCAGTACTACCAGTGGCTGCCTCGCCCATGCTATCCTTTGTGTCCAGAATAGCACTACTATCACCAGTGAATTGTTGTTCCATACTCACTTTGCTCTCAGTTGTTGCCAAAGTTGGCTGCTGACAGGCTTCAGTGCTGACTTTAGGTTGTTCATTGCCATTTAGACTACTCACAGATGAATTGGTACTACCTTCACTATCAGTTTTTGACAGTTCATTATTGTTGTTGCGATTCATCTTCCTCGGTCTTTTGGCTGAAGAATCCTTTCTGCGGTTACGAAAAAGCTTGTTTTTCTCACCTTCCAACTTTTCAGCTATACTAAGACTCTTGCGCCACACTTTTTCCGTGTCACGAGCATATTGCTCAAGATCTACCTGCCTCTCATCAGGCTGACTAGAGCCTGGATCAGAAGTCCTGGCTTTGCGTAAACGACGAAGTTCAAAAAATGCCTTATTTTTTTCAACTTCAATCTTTCTGGCATTAGCCTTGCTGTCACGCCAGGTTCTCTCAATTACATGTGGACTCTTGGCTCTAGATGCATTGCGAGACGGTCTTCGCTCGCTGCGGCCACGACCACCACTTCTCCTACCTCCATTATTGGTGCTGCTAGGACCATTAGATGCCATCTTTTAACAATACTTTGGTTGTACTGTCAAATATACTATTAGTAAAAACAAAAAAAAATTCAAAATATTTTTTCTTTGAAAAGAGGGATTTTAAATAAAGCAAAATAAAAAAATAGGGCGTTTCCAGTAAAACGACTTTGCCTAGATGGTGACCCTCTATCCTTTTATAGCTAAACTTTTTAGTATTAGACTCAAAAGTAGTTACTGTAGGGTGCTCACTTGCTGGACAACTACCACATGAAAATGTTGGCCCATACATTTACACTATCATTTACTATGAAAATTTTTATTTTCATAACATATCAACATTCCATAGTGTGGAATAATTAAAGTACAAAAATACAAAAAATTTCAAGTTATACCTACCTGCTCTATTTTTATCAGAAAGCACTATTTATTTTATTTGCACTAACATATGTTACATACATGTGAAATACAATAAAATTCAGGTATAATCCCCATGATATGAAAAAATAAATCATAAAGCTATAGAGATTTTCAAAACAATATGAACAGGCACACTGGTATAACATCCAGAGCTACAACAATGGGGAATGTGTTCAGCTACATTATGAATTTGTTAGCAAGTCACAAGATACTTGGTATAGCAATTATGAATTTGTTAGCAAGTCACAAGATACTTGGTATAGCAATTATGAATACAAAGCCCCAATAGCTCTCTAGGCAAGTGATAATGTGTATACATAGATATCACTGACAACTTTCGATCCAAAAACATATTTTGTTTCTCATATCATATCATTTTTTTGGGTGTTTTTCAAGATTTAGAACTGGTGGTGTGGACAACAATACAATACTCAGCTACCAGCAATAAAGATAACCAGATATTTGAGATGATGAAACTAATTTTCTTACCTGAGATGTTTGTAATCAAACAGCCTTTTCAGAAACACACTACAAGTGAGTTCTCTTGAAAATTCCTAAAAAAATAATTAAAAAGCAATATAAGGAATACATACAAGAAAGTGGTTACATGTGAATGAAGTCAAACAAATAAATCATGTTTTTGCTAACCTAATTGACCAACATTTTTTGATAAACTGAAAAGTTTATTTTATGCAAATGAGCCCAAAATTATTTATTTTCATGCAAACCAGCTGTGCTCATTTCACCAATGTTGTATTTTATTTAGTTCCTTAATATTTAGTGAATGACTAGCAGACTGTTGTATAAAGGAAATGTAATCTGAAACTAACAAAGTTGACATTTTTCACATCGGCAGTTTAAGAAAAAATAAAGTAAAAAATTATATTAAAAATAAAATACCCTGTCTACATACATACCCAGTATGTTTTTAGCCAGTTACTAGAAACACAAAATTTGTTTTGTTTTTTCAGCCTAATACAAAATATGTTTGACTTTATTAAGTGGATGTTATCATCTGATTTGTAAATACACTGACAATTCAAGTCATAACTTAACCCTTTGTTGCCAAAGTCAAAACTAGCCACATTTTACAATATAATTCCAGATTTTATTCAAAGTTTTTTATCATGATCTGTGAAGAATGGAAAAGTATGCCTATTTATAGAAAAAAAATGTATAAATGTAAAATATGGGATGGTTCTACAAACTCTTTAAACATACTTTAAAGTAATATATTAAGGATTTATTTGAATACCTGTCAACATGTGTCTAAGTAAAATTTAGACTGTTTCTGAACCAATATTCTAAAATAGCTCTAAATTTATCTCTATGTGATCACAATGATTTTTTAATGATGTAGTCATATTTAACTGTCTGTAATATATAGGGAAAACTAGTAATAATATTTAAATTAGATCACTAGTTCTCATGAATAGCTAAAAACAATACCAACTAACAAACAAAAAATTCCAATAAAATAAAACAACATTTTTGCTATATTTTTTTAATTATGCATCACTAGTTGTACATAATTTGAGAATTTGTTACGACTTACACCATATTATAGTTTGTAATCAACACGAATTTAACAATTTATAAACACAAAAAAATAAATAGGCAAAATATAAAATTGAAAAAGTAAACAATAAATTAATTTAATTTCAATTAAACAAAACTCTTCATGTTTACATTACATGGTGCCTACACCAATGATACTCCAGTCTGAAATATTTCCATTCCGAGTAAACCTGTCACAATCGTATTATAAATAATTTGAAATCAAATTGTGAATATATCTTACTTACCTTGCAATCATGTCTAATACGAACATTACGATATATTATTAATAACAATAAAATGTTTTATATACACATTTGTATGCCTAATATTTTAAAAGTTGCCCAGTTGCGGGTATTATCCATATTAACAGCGGCGATCATGATTACAAAATTCTTCATTAATGTTGCGAATTACGAAAATATGTCAGGGGCCGGGCATTGATACAAAGTTGCATCCAACGTCCAGGCGGACATTTTGTACAGTAAGGGTTTTTTGTATTTCGGTTTTCATTTCCAAGTTCACAGTTCCAACAACACGCCACGGAAATATCAACACATGGATTCACAGTCACGTCAACAATAGCGGCGATTTCTCAAGAAAAAGTTACATTTTTTTAGAAATAATAATTCATATTGACGTTCCACTTACCGTAAATAAGATGATTCACAAACTTGACTTCAGATAAACGATGAATAAGCTTCTTAGGTGAATATCGCAGGGATATCGCTCTATCCAGCCAAAAACGCTGTTGCGTGTTTGACCTATGCGGATGGAGTGGTTTATCTTGACAATCCGCATCTTTGCGTAGCAACGCGCCATTATTTGTTCCACTATAAGAACAACGTCGCAAAATCATTCATTGTGGCGTCACGCGGAAATATCACTCCGCCATGTGAAGCAGAATTGACGGAGCACACACAATTCACTTCGCCAATTCACGAGGTACAAAAGTAGTGCATCTCAAGTTTCTCTTGGAGCCAGATGCTTACACATATTTTTTTTGAGCGATTAATACGAATGAAAATATACACAGATTATCACGAAAAGTAGAAAAGTCATCCACCACTTTCAATAACTGCGAAATTCCATTTTAGTAAAATAGCGCCACCAACGGATATATATCTGCTTTAATTTAATTTCGTTTTTTATCATAAGAAGTACGGTACTGTACGATTATATGCAATCTGATGCATTGTACGGCGTGAATTGAATTTAATTTTATATATTTTATTTTGACTATATATTTTTATTATTAATTGTAATTGTTTCAAAAAGTATTATAAATATCTTATTGCCATATACATTCGCGATTACCAACATTTTTAAAAAACAGCTAGCAAATAAATAATAGATTAAAATATATTAAAGTAAAAGAAAGTGTATGATAAAATAAATAATTAAATTAAAAGTAATAAATTCAAATAAAATAAAATACAAATAAATAATTAAAAATATATTTGAAGAAAAAATAATAAAGCCCAAACTACGATCTTATATTACATGTAATCAGATTGGATTGGATAGACACACTGCCTGCCATGAATCTGGACTTTGCTGAATATGTTGATTCAATAATTGGGTTTGTAATATAAATGCAAACCCTTTGCATCCTGGATAACATGATGAATACAAGTAAAAGACAGACCTTTTTATTTTGTTTAATAATTGAAATTTGTATTTATGAATATTAAATAAAAAAAATCTTTGCTAACTATTTTACAATTATATGTATAACTTAAATTCTATATTGGAAGCAGGGCAGCTACTGTACAAAATACAAACACAATTATGTGTTGTCATAAATATGAAATGCATATATATTTGTATTCAACATTTAGTAAATTATATGAAACTATTGCATTTTGATTATTCTATTTTGTTTCCTCTAAAAGTGTCGTATTTGTAAAACCATAAACCCAAGCCATAGACCTTTCATTGTAACCATGGAGTACATGTAATGCTGCAACGTACAACATTGCGCGAATGATGAATATTTATACAGCTTCGTAACCTCTGACCTGTACTTGCGCAGACCATCGGCGCCATTTTGAATGTTTTCATCGTACGGAAATGTATATGTTGATTACTATTGTAACAATAATTTAAATCGACGTTGGAACGGGAAATCTGTGACTTGAGAGTGTGTGTATCTAATCTAACTCTACGTAATTACTCGCAATACTTAAATATGAGCGTGGCAACAGATACGAAACCGGGCGATACATCAAGGTAAATACTCACTGGCTGTACGTCGTTTTTCAGTAAAGTCAAAACAGACAGTAGCCTAGAGCATGGACGTACTAGAGATGCCTAGAGTCAATTCATTCGTTTAGCTGTTGTTTTGATCTGTGCGCTGTGTGGTAAATATTAATACTACGACGTACGAAGCAACCGTAACGATAAACAAACGTACTGTGATGGATAACAAAACGACACTCACAAATCACGGTGGTACTGTTGACTTACTGGACTACCGCACTGCGGTAACCCGACTTTCGCGGTAACTCGGCTTTAGCCATTTACACTCCCACAACATTTAATATTATTAAGAAGACAACAACAAATAAACAAGGGACTGTATGCAAATCTATTGATTTACTCGTCACCGGTACGGAGGTGGTGATATCTGGCATAAACAATAAACTGACATTCTATGTTTTGCAAATTACGCAGTTAGCAGAATTCAATTGCCAGTTTTATTTTTCATTAACAAAGTTTTCTACACTGCAAGTAAAAAAATCTTCTGCACAAGTAAATCACTCTTTAGATAATAAATAAATAGCATTTACATTTGAACCACTAAAATGTGATGTTATATCAATTTATATTTATTATTTCAGTGATGAAGTGGACAGTAAATGGTTAAATGCACATTATGATCCGGTAGCATCACTATATACATTTACAACATGTATGGGTAGGTACACATGTCAGGTCACATAAATGTAATATTCGAGTGTCATATGGCAAGTCAACTGAACATTTAATGTGTCTAGTGTCATATGGCATCATATTATTATCATATTATAGTGGCTTGTGTTACAATGTTTCAACTTCAAAAGCCAGTTCAAAACCACAAAAGCACTTTTTTCATGATGGACACTAATGTCACGATCTCTCTTGCGATTTATTTTACAAAGTGAGATAAACCAAGTGCTTGTCAACAAAGCTCAGTAGATGAATGGAGGATTTCAGCACTTGCTCAGCATTTAACACCTTGCTCTTGATTCACATTAAATCTCATTTACAGATTTGTTTGAATAGACTTCATAGTCGAAAAAACATGTCTAGTTTGTAATCAAGACAATTGTAATTTTTGAATTGTTGACATAAACACTGTTAGTCTGAACACTCAATTAGGGGGAGTGGTTTTTAATTAGGATGCGGTCAATATAAGAATTTAACCATACATACCAGTACCTCATTTTTTCCCCAGCGTTGTCTGATTTGAACGGTGATGGAGAGAACAAGTTAATTATAGCTGATCTTGGCACAGGTTCTTACGATATGAAATTGAAAGTCTATAAAGGAACATCACTGATGTCTGAGAATGCTATTATAGATTTACCAACTGGAGTATCTACATTCTTTATGGATACCAATGAACCAAGGACACCTGGTTAGTAATTTAATATACTGGCTTTTATTATATATCGTATTGTTCCTATAATTCAGAAGATCCTGAATGAATGAACGAACAAATATAGTCAGCGAAATTGTAGCTAGATCCATTTATTCTACTTATACAATGGGGTAGAAATATGTATCCCTCTTCATATCTTTCAATTGTCAGTAATTGAGAAATCATGTTGTGTTGTTTCTGAGCCATTATATTAATTGCTAGAAAACATATATACATACGTACATTTGAAGCATGACCACTAATATGTCAGTTAGCCCTATTTCATTTTACTAATCTATGTTATAGAACCACGTTTTCCCCATCAGAAAATTTTAAATAACAGTTTTTTGTTTTGTTTTTCCAGCAATAGCAGTTGCTTCAGGGCCATATATATATGTGTATAAGAATCTGAGGCCATATTTTAAGTTTACGTTGCCGCCCCTAGAAGTTAATGAAGTTGAAGAACAATTGTGGAATCAGACAAGAGAGGTGAGTATAAATCAGTCATTCATTTGTTGGTATCAGATGTAGTAAATGTAATATTAGATGAGTACATACTGTATTTCTATCAGTCCTTACTAGAAACTTGACTATATCGATTTAACACTCTCATTGCAAAATTATTTTTCCTGCCAAAATATCTAGTGTAAATTTTTTTTCTTTTTTTTTTTCTGGATTTTCAGGATAAATTTTGAATCATAGTAATGTAACCTTTTAAATACACTTTTATCTGGTAACTTATATTTTTAATGGAAACAAGTGTATGTGTAAAAAAGTCCTGTTTGCCTAAACATATAATTTAGATTCAACTTTTTGGAAAATATTCATGTTCAATATTGCAACATTTAATATTGTTATTTTATACAGGATAAAATTGATGTGAGAGTATTACGGGAAATGTTGGACAGTCTACGAAGAGAGAATACAGATAGCAGTTTAACTGTCAGATCCTTGAGGTATTTACTTTACTATTAGTAACACATGCACTAATATAAATGACATGCCTATGTTGTAAATATCATATTTTCTGCCATTATATAAATCTCATACCAGTATGGTTTGAAAAAAAAATATTGGCTGTTTCAGTCGTGCATGTCAAAGGTGTATTTAGGGTTGAACTAAACCATGTAGTATACATTCCCATTGTGGCTCTAATTGCCAGTTGTGTCAAGGCTCTATCAGGTTTTAACACAACCTTCACACATATTTCAAGCATTTTGTTTCACCCTTAGATTTTTAATGTTAGATCCTGATCAGATGGAAGCATTTGCTGATCTCCATAAACACAGTCCCATGAAAAAACAGGTATGGCTGATTTCTTTCCTTTTTATACACCTTCAGTAGCAACACATGTTCTTATTAAAGTATGTTTATGTTAGCCATTATATCACCGAAGTTTTCAAAGCTATAATTCACACATCATCATGTATGTACCCTGAATGTATAATGACATAAATAATAATTAGAATATATACTGTCTCAATCATGTGTTGGGGCTATTTACTGGAGTTACATTCAGTATAATTATTTTGAGAATATCAAGTCCCATTTCAGATGAATTTATAGTCATTGTAAAATGGATTATCGGTAGTCAGCATTTTTAGGATGAAGAAGGCATTCAGAATATGCATTTGTCCTGAGACTACAATAACTAGTCTCAGCATCTGTGTCAAAATTGCATTTGGTAACTGTGTATTTAAGTCTCTGATTCATTGTTTCTCCTCACTCTTTAATTCTCTCTTTAGACTGTAATTACATGTATGGACACTTTGAAAAAGAGTATGTCAGATGATGATGCTATAAGCTGTTTGGTTATTGGAACAGAAAGTAAAGATATTTACATCTTAGATCCTGAAGCATTCACAGTACTTGCAAAGGTAGGGCTGCAATCACACTATTAAGTAAAATGTGGATCCCCTAACTCAGTACCACAGTGCTAGTTGGGATCCCCTAACTCAGTACCACAATGCTAGTTGGGATTCCCTAACTCAGTACCACAGTGCTAGTTGGGATTCCCTAACTCAGTACCACAGTGCTAGTTGGGATTCCCTAACTCTGTACCACAGTGTTAGTTGGGATTCCCTAACTCAGTACCACAGTACTAGTTGGGATTCCCTAACTCTGTACCACAGTGCTAGTTGGGATTCCCTAACTCTGTACCACAGTGTTAGTTGGGATTCCCTAACTCAGTATCACAGTGCTAGTTGGGTTTCCCTAACTCAGTACAGTGCTGGTTGGGATTCCCTAACTCAGTACCACAGTGCTAGTTGGGATTCCCTAACTCAGTACCACAGTGCTAGTTGGGATCCCCTAACTCAGTACCACAGTGCTAGTTGGGATTCCCTAACTCAGTACCACAGTGCTAGTTGGGATCCCCTAACTCAGTACCACAGTGCTAGTTGGGATTCCCTAACTCAGTACCACAGTGCTAGTTGGGTTTCCCTAACTCAGTACCACAGTGCTGGTTGGGATCCCCTAACTCTGTACCACAGTGTTAGTTGGGATTCCCTAACTCAGTACCACAAGGCTAGTTGGGATCCCCTAACTCAGTACCACAGTGCTAGTTGGGATTCCCTAACTCAGTACCACAGTGCTAGATTCCCTAACTCAATACCACAGTGCTAGTTGGGATTCCCTAACTCTGTACCACAGTGCTAGTTGGGATTCCCTAACTCAGTATCACAGTGCTAGGTGGGATTCCCTAACTCTGTACCACAGTGATAGTTGGGATTCCCTAACTCTGTACCACAGTGTTAGTTGGGATTCCCTAACTCAGTACCACAGTGCTAGTTGGGATTCCCTAACTCAGTACCACAGTGCTAGTTGGGATTCCCTAACTCAGTACCACAGTGCTAGTTGGGATTTCCTAATTCAGTACCACAGTGCTAGTTGGAATTCCCTATCAACTCAGTACCACAGTGTTAGTTGGGATTCCCTAACTCAGTACCACAGTGCTAGTTGGGATTCCCTAACTCAGTACCACAGTGCTAGTTGG